TTGGGTGAATACATCTCATATTACTGATTTACTGGTAGTCACGAAAGCAATACTTAATTCGAAAAATAAATTCTTAGTAATGCTTATAGTTTCTTGCTTATGTAATAAACGTTTTATTTCCATTATCTACCATAGTTCGATTTTAGTCTCCCTAGTTAAACTTACGTATTCTCTGCTTTGCATGTTTCTCCAACCAATCGGCTACACCCTCTACCGTCAGATCGCAAAGAGAGGCTGCAGACTCATCCTTGACTGTGGCATGCCCGTTTCGAGTAAGCGTGACCGTTTCAGCTGATTTTATCATTTGATTTGGCTCTCGAGGACTAGACTGATGACCATTTAGCCTGGCCTCAGAGGCACTTTTAGCACAACCGTTGCCAACTTTAATGCTTTCCTTAAATGTATCAATTAGATCAGCGCTGGCCATTTGATCGAGGTGTTTTGGCTGAGCTAGATCATCTGGAGTACGGATTCGTGTAGACAGATGGTGATCTTTCGGCCGTTCAATAGAAGGTTGTTGATTGTGTTGGCCACAAAACGTACGTTCTCGCTCTCGCTTAAGTAGACTAACTAAAATGCCTGACAAATTGATCATTATGAATGAGGCTGGTTAAGAAGATAAAAAAAACGAAAATCGTGGATATGAAGACCAAGATGATGTTATCTCTAATTGATTCGCAGTCTCCTTTTGCCTTAGAGAAATGGAATGATCTCGTTCTCTGTGCGACCTCTGCCATCGTGATTATGCTAATTCCCAGCGTCAATTAGTGCATTTCATACAATACCGAACGTTTCGTCGACATCGTAGTCGGCAAAGTCAGTGCATTGTGCCATGCTTAGCATTAAGCTACAACTCGTCCAATAGACAAGTTCAGTTTGTACCTTAGCCATGTACCAAGTCCACGATCCGACAATGCAGTGTCATAACTACGCATGGCAGAGGGCATTGAATAAGATGAGTGCTTCTATATCACTCTGGCAACGGAACTAAGTTGCAGGAACGAAGTTTAATCACTTTAAAATAAGGTGAAATTGGCTTCTTACTTTAAAGTCTTAGAGAAGGGATTCATAACAGATGCAATAGTTACCAGATTTGTTATGACGCAGAAAGGGGTGATAAAGACAAACCTCTTTCAATTGATAAAGCTATACAATATTCCATTATTTGTAGACACAATAAAATCATAGATACGATGAAAAACTGGATTTAGACGAATCTACCGAGATACCATTGTTGAGGGGGAGACCTTATATTTCGTATGAAAGTGCATGAAGAAGAGATGTGTAGGTTGATCCCATCAAAAGACAATTGCTGAATCTAGTTGTACTGCAGACGTTTGGCTTTAATACGATGTTCAGACTCACGCATTCTACGAGACATCCTCCCTGGCTTCGGGTGAAAACGGACTGAATTCCAGCTCTGATGGTGTTCATCACATGATGGACGAAAGCTCAGCTCATTTTCATGCGAAACCAGGAAGGAGGTCTCGTGGACTGCGTCAGCCTAAACGTCGTATATAAATCAAACCGTGCAGTCCTCTTCTGGCGAGATGAATCTACGAATAGGTTCTTCATGCACTTTCATACGAAGTGAATGTCTGCTCTACACTAAAATTACTTATTTATTGTTGAGCTTACTG